ACTTTAAACACAGGTAAATGAAAATAATTTTGTTGTTAGGTATACGTGTATAGTACCAATGGAGAAAGGAAATATTTTTACAAAATAATAAATTTTGATGTTCATAGTACGAAATGAAATTTTATAGTTATACCAAACACTTTGTCCATATATGCAGTACATTATACAAACGCAATATTTGGTTGGAAAAGATATCAAAGTGAATTATTAAACCATATCGTAAAGTATACTCACATTATGATTTTAATTTATATTTAAATAAACCGAAAATGAGTTTAATATCAACATTAAACAGAAATTTAGATAAATACAAACAATAACCTTATATCCGATGCAATGAATGTTGAATGAAGAGGATATTAGGTGTGTATTTCAAACAACCCAAATTTAGTTCCTATCACATATCAAACATATGTATCTTTCTGAAATTATATACAATAAGATGTGTTATAAATATTTAAGGAATTCTGTTCACTGGATTTTGACCTGTGTACTATCAGGATGATTTATGTTGCTACCTGAACTATGCCAAATGCAATTTGATTGTAAACCGATACCGCTTCCTCGCGAGTCAGGCCTATTGCCTTAGTGAAAGCATTATGGTTCAAACTTAAATTGAATATACTCACGTGAACAAGACACTCCAGCATCATGATAATGGTCACAATGCGGACGCCCACCTCTTGTCATTGAACAGTGTAATAAGTCTACTTCTGTTCCATTGCATTTAAGATTTGATAACATGGCTGTACCACTGCCTTCCCCAAAATAACTGTTTGTGAATGCTTTGCCGTGAACTAAGCTGAAAATGTGATTGTGAATCAAAGGTCAATAGAAACTAATACTGTAAATTAGTTTTGTTGTTTTTAGTTGATGAAGTTTTAGGAAATACTGTCTTTATTGAATACTGTAGGTCGATGTTTTCATAAATTTTAAAATGTAGCACAAAGGAAATAAGTACTTCGTTTGAATAACTATATTCGTAATAAGCCCATACCCTCCGAAATTTACGCATATTGGTTACCCACTTATATTAATAGATCCATATTAGACGTTTAGTACCATTTTCCAATGATGATATGCGTTTCCAAACTAATCGTAATCATAATGACCAAAACGTTATAATTTTATGATATGTCTATATAGAAATAGCAACCAAATAAAGCCAAAAACGTCAATGCACGTGATCTCAAATATCGCATATTTTGAAAATTATGAAATATAACTTAAAATATGATCACATTTGTCCTAGGCAAGGTTAACCATAAACCTTTTGAGTGTTTTGAAAAAAATTTGATTTTCCGTAATATTTTCTAAACAGAAATAAAATGAGTGTATCATCATATCTTATGCACAAAAAAATCCGATATGTTGTAAAAAAATAAATTAATTCAAAATGTTTAAACTATGAGTGTAACTAGTTTGAACGTAGCTAATTCAGCCATTATAGTATGAGTCTTATCAAGCTTATGATTTTTTTCGAAATTCTGTTTCCAATTTTCTAAAACCATTTTACACAAATCTATCAGTATAAAAAAAAATTAAGAAGATTTTTGACATTTGAGCGAGCTAGCATTCGTGCCTTTGAAACTTTCCATTACATTAGTCGCCAGATTTGACTGCCAATGACAGTTTTAAAGAGCACTGTAGTATATATTGATATTTACATGATATCTGTAAGGAACAAATCGTTAATACTTTTAAAGAGGCCCTTAGTATATGTTGAAATATACATGATACATGTAAGGAACAAATCACAATATAAATAATTCATTAAATGAACCCTATCAAACATGTGGTTTTATAGAAGAAGCTTTTTGGTAGTGTTATAAAATAACTGCAATAAGTATACAAATGTCGAGTACGTTGTGTTGATTATTAGATGATGAATGAAAACTTTTATTAAAGCTGTTGGACACGTATCGTTTGAGAACAATAATGTCGAATAAATATACAAACATGGTCCGAGTCCCAGTTATACGGTATACATTGTTTTATTGGAATGTCTGTGTTATATGTTTCACTTCAAATTATAAAAACGATTCTTAATGATATGATAGCGTTTTTGAAATACAGTTTTTGAAAAGAAGTATTGACAATTTAATGCAAACGGACAAACAGACAAACGTCGTACTTTGACCTATAATGCATATTGTGACTTGGATGGAGAGTTGTCTCATTGGCACTCATACCAAATCAGAGTATGTAATACCAAAATTATACTAGATTTATCTTTTTATTTTGGATATTATTTATTTCTTTCCATAAAGTTGTTTTAAAATATTTGTAGAATGCCACTTAGGGAGTTTTATGGAAATCAATGGATAATCGTTGGTAAAAGAAAACTTCGTACGTCTGTCGGGAATTGTTAAAATTCGTCCGGAATCTTGTGTTTTGAAATACTTTGAACATATTTGACATTAGCTCTGCTTTGTTTCACCTTTGTGAATTTATCCTGAATTGTTGTTTGGGAACGACAAACAAGAAGCACCGTAAAAGTTCAGGAAATTGTCTCGAAGAACACAAAAACGTTAAAATGGACAATGAAAAATCACATAGGTGTCTTCTAATCATATAACATCTTCAGAAATGTATTTTCTTTTATGATATGATAATGTAAATGTTGTTGGATCTGGTTTAACTCTGTAATCAATTATATTCAAAAGGGTTTTATTCGATTATTGTTATTATTATCTAGCCCAAAATAATGATTGATTGATTGTTGGTTACTTAACGTCCAGTGGCAAATTTTGTGCATGTTCAGGACGATCCAAAGTAATGATGTACAGGGTTAAACATTTAACGACCCACAAATCGTAAAACGCGCAGTATTGTGTTCCCATTGTGTAGATATTTGTGTAGAGCCAGTACTCAAGTATCACTCGATATGTAATGCTTCATCGGGTTGACATCATTACTTTATATGCATACTAGGAAATCACACGGTGTCACTGCATATAAACGGTTAATGAACAGAGCAATTAAGAATAACATATTCGTGATCAAACTTTATTTAGAGATATGAGTGTAGCAATATTTAAATTTAGAATTGAGTGATTTGACTTATACAACCGACATGATACATTAAGGTATATTCTGTAACCACTCACTACCTAATTGTCAAAATAATGAACTCTATAAAGATAATGTATGCATTTCTGTTATATTACCGATTTAAGGGATATGCTGTTAACATTTTACAAATAATAGTTGCCTCATTATCATTCCATTCTTCATCACACAATGTTGACCATGTCCCGTCGATCTTTATCTCCACTCGTCCTTCCATCGTGTGTGATCCTCCAGAAAGTCTTACATTCGTTGCTCCTAGTTAAAACACAAATGATTATAACGATGTGGTTTGTGCTTTACTATTTTGGTTGTTTAGTTTTATCGGGCAGATGCTGATAAAAAGTAAAATCACAAAAATACTGAACTCCGAGGAAAATGATGTTACACTCCCATCGACATTATTTAAACTGGAAAAACAGTTTTTACCTAATTTCTTCTAAAACAAGGATTTGTTCTTAGTAAGTATCAAATATCTCAGTGCATCAATATGGAGTATGCGCAAAGAACATAATTTTTTAATCCCAAGTATTAGGTATGGTTCAATCTTTTACATTTCTTGTTGTCAGTTCTGCTTTTTGGAAAGAAATTTATTGGTATCCTGACCAGTTGTTATTATAAATATACCATTGTTGTTGTGCACATTTTTATTATTACTTTTGCTTTTCCGTAGTCTTTCGTGTTTATAAGAGATCAAAATTTCGATCCATTTGATAAACAACATAGAAGATATGGTGTAATTGCCAAAGAAACACCGGTTAACCAGAGATCGAATGACGGAGATGTAAGCACCCATTATCCATCGTACGACCTTAGATAGTTAGCCAAAGTACGAGCTTAGAGAATAAGAAAATCGCATATTGTATCATCATCTATAGCATTCATAAATACCCCCGACAAGAAAAAAAAATGATGTTTTAGGTTCACCTTAATCTGCTTCTATATGTACACCATACGATTAGAATGATTGACTTCTCTCTATGGAGGGGGGGGCATAAACATCCACGTTCGTGCATTTCGTTTAAACATTATTTTATTAACTAAGGTAAATCACATAATGATATAAATACAAACTGCACAATACTCCGGCTTCATTGTTATTGTCGCACGAATGATACCCCCATTCTTTAGTTCTGCATCCATTTATATCTATTTCTGTTCCGGTACATGATATTTGGTCTAGAAGAATAGGCATACTGCTTTGTCCATAAAAAGAAGTATTGCGAGCAAATGCGTCTGTAGTACTTAAATCAAATTTACAATTATAATTATTTTAAAGATTAGATACAATGAAAACTAGAAAAACTAAAAGATAGTAAATACTTAAAATTTAACTGTGGAGAGTGGATAAATATCGTATTACACGAGATTTGGTGGTGGAATCTGTTTCTCTAATGATTTTCAAACATTATGCGAGCAAACTTATTCCGTCTTTTCGAATGATCTGTAAAAAGATGTATTCTTTCTTTGTGACGTCATCAGGCATGGTCGCCTTTTTTCATGCCGTCACAATAGGAAATTCAGAGGAAAGCAAGTTAATTCGACGTCATAATCGGATTTTAACCAATGAAGAACTGAGATCAAACGAACCACACGTTGATTAAATTTTTTATACAATGGGTGCAGAAAGGGATAAATTGACGAAGAATTAGAGAAACATATATATACGAAGATATAGGTACATTATAAAAATTTGACTTTCGAAACTGATTTTGTATGATTTTTATCTGTTGTGACAGCATTGTGTTTGAGTTGTCAGTAAACAAAAAACTGTACATGTGAATTACATGTACCATAGAACGAGATGAAACATGACACTTTTAATTATTATATTTATAATACATATTATTTTATTAAAATGTAATATGTGTACCTTCCAGTTAATGAATACACTTTCGAATTGATTATAACTTAAATGATAAACAACATACCCATCAAGAAATCCTAACATTCTGCACACAACGCCAGCTGCTTCATTTCCAAAACCTGTGTCACAAACAGTTCCCCACACTCCGTTGTGAAAAACCTCTATCCGTCCTTCCCACGGGCCACCACCACCAGCTAATCGTACCGGAGTTGGCCCTAAAAAGATTTTACCAAATTTGAATGTATATTAAGGTTACCTTGTTAGGATTCAGAGCTCTTAAAAAAAACTCAATTCAAATATTTTGCATTTATGCTAAAATTTGGATTTAGCACATCATATTCCCTATACAGACCAAGTGAAAAATTTTGATACTACATATTGCATCCGACAAATAAGTTATGTAACTATGTTTGATGTTATCAAATGAGATATACAGTTTCTTCATTATTGTTCTAGTAATGTTATGACAAAGCTGATTTAGCATTTCAAAAGCTTTACGGTCTTCATTACAATGATTGACAGCTGGTTTGGCAAGTTATTTAGTTCAAACTTTCGGTCAACCGCGTCAAAATTACTGGTGATAAAATAACCATAATTGTAAAATATGCATGATGAATAAAACACAATTTCTTCTCAGCAGATTTGTTTCAGTCCAATACTTGATTTACCTTTCATATAATTGCAAAATGTCACATTTGCAGACCTTTATTTGGCAAGTTTTAAATTTATCTGGTATTGTTATTACAAATATTTTGTTCGACTTTTTGGGGTTTTTTATCAATACATACACTATTTACACACAATGCCTCATTTATTATGGGATATCATAATCAAACGTTCAGCAAATTCAAATGACGCCTTTATTAAAATTCAAATTACTGTGTACATGGAAGAAAAACTAGATCAAATACATAAACAAATTATTTATTGTTTTTATCACTTGAGCAAAGGACAACACTATCTTGTTAATTTAAATGAAAATTGTGCAAGCATGTTCATTTCAAAAACTGCAAACTTTAGATCTTCTAATTCTGGATCCTCATTTGATTAATTCCAATGGAATATAGCACGTCCAAAAACCTATTTTAAGTACAGAAGGTTTCACTATTGGGGCAGGATATACTGACCCTTCTGGGGCATTTAAGAGTAACCCTTTTTTGGTTTGTCTTGCCCAGTATTTTTAGTTTACTGTTAATTTTTCATCGAATTTCTTTTGAATTTGGTATCGTCTGTTTTTTCTTCGATTTATACGTTTTCATTGTGTCTGTTTTTGGTTAACATTTTTTCTATTTTTAATTTCATATTCCCGTTGAAGAAAATTTCATGCTTAGTCTTACCACATCTGACACCAACAGCAGACTGGTTAGAACAATTGTTTACTTTCCAGTTCAGCAAACAACCTGATATGTCATTCTCATTTCCTGTACAAGACATGTTCTGTAGGAAAACTGGACCATGTGATGTTCCAAATTCTTCATTAAGAAAAACCTGCTCCCTTTATAATTATAACGAAAAAATGATTTATCTTGAGAAGTGATAAAACATAAGTTGCAGGAGAACAAACAATTTACCAAAAAAATGTAGTTTCAAAAGAAGTAGATAAAATGATATGATAGTATGATTTGAAAGTCGTTCATCTCTTTAACGAGATTAATGCAATAATATACATTTTAATGGAACGGAAAATAATATCTCATGGGCAACTATTTTTTTCAGCACGCACTATAACATTTTTTTTGTCAAGAAATATTAATTAAGGTAACTGTTAATAATCCGCAATTATGGAAGCTTGTTATAAAAAAGCTAATAAACTCAGCTGACTATTGTTTTTATATTTCCTTAAATAGATGTATGTGTCAAGTGCACCAATAGCTAAATTTCGTACCACAATAAGAAATAAATAGTTTTCAATTTCAATAATCAGTATAGATAATTTGCATTGCATTAATCATACTCAGTCTGTAATCCAAGCATTCTACAAATAACGTTCGCGTCATCTTTTTTAAATCCTCCACCACATATTGTACCCCATTGACCATTATGATATATTTCAACTAATCCCTCGTTTGGTTGTTTACCATTAACTAGTCGTGCAGCTATTCGGGCTTAAATAATTCAATGAGATTAAGGTCAACAGATGATGTCATACATTATATAATTATTTCTGCAAAGTAGGACGTGTGATTCATTATAAAGGAAGTATGTTTATTGCTCATTCGAAAGATACCAAAGGGACATTCAAACTCGTCGAAAATAAATTGACAATCCATGGTAAAAAAAGAAAAAGATAAATAGACAAACAACAGTATATAAAACACAACATAAAGACAGAACGACACGAACCACACCAAAAAGCGGGTGTGATATGAGAGTATTCTTTTGAAATAATTTCAACCCCTTTAAACAATTCAAGTTTAATCGGTCAATCAATTGTGTGCTAGTTTTTTTACGAATAATATAAAGTTTAACATATTAAAAAAAATCAATATAAATATTACCCGAATTTGATTACCGAAAATAGAGTGCCTACCTTATAATGTTATGATTACATTACGTTTATACTGTTCGAAAATCCTTTTTTTTATATTTTGCCTGAATATGATCTTGACTTCTATGTAATATGTAACATAAAATAAGTATGTTCTTTCCAAAGTTTTCTCTATTAAATCAGTTAAATCATCTTTCAAATGTTTTCACATGATCGAATGTTTGTTTGTTTTACTTTCTTGTTTATAATAACTATTTAAATTAGTAATATTTTATCTAAATATAAAAGTTACTCACGACATCTTATGATTTGTTGTGAACAGTTGTTTGTTGTTTCTTTTAATTGACACAATCCGATATCTCCTTCTGATCCTGAACAAGACAGTAATTGTCCAGACTCAGTAATATTGTCAACAAAATAACCATTGCTACTGTTTAGTAGTTCCGGATCATTGCTGTCGTAAAAAAAAAAACAATCGATCGATCGGACTTTAAAAAGTTAAGAAAATAAACTTTTTGTTCGATTTCTTTCATTTTTATTGTTCTTCTGAATCATAGTTACTTACAGGTATTACTTTTATTACAATGTAACATGTAAGATATACAAAACTGTTGCTGATTAAATGAGGACATAGCTTGAGGTAACAGAAAACATCAATGGCTTAAAAGATATAACGAATAGAGAAAAAGAGCAAAAATATAAAGACTAAATAATAATGGGAAAATATAATTTGGTAATACAATACTTATTACAGCAATGAACGATGTACACAGTTACGAAAGTATCGATCATAAAATGTTTCGTGTAATCTATGTAAAACGCCTTTAAAAAAAATAACAAAAATAACCTGTCCGGAAAGCCAAGCGTTCTGCAAACCACTTTAGCAGCAGACATGCTAAAACCTTCTTGACATACAGGATACCATTTGTTTCCTTTAAAAATGTCAACATTTCCTTCATAAGAACCTTTTCCACCATGAATTCGGACTTGAATATCTTGACCTAGAATGAATATAACCAATTTTCTATTTGAGTCTTCAAAAGAGTGTTTATTTATGTTGATCAGACATTTTAATCTGTATGCATTTTCATTGATATATAGAGTTCAGAACATTTTACCTACAAGAAAGTACGTAACTTTAGAAAAGCAATTAAGATTTATTTGTTTCAGAAATAATTATTGTTTAACAATATGCATACCACAGTATATTGCTGCTTTTCTTTTATGGGAGCATGTCATCGATCCAAAACCATCCGATTTGCATAAAGCGACATCTGTTTCATCCCCATTACAATGCAGATTATCAATCCAAACTAATCCTGTTCCACTGTCAGTACTGTTCAGCAATCGTGGTATTCTTTATTTAAAGTGTTCAAATAAATTTTAGTATTTTTCGTATTAATTAGTTTGTATATAGTTTACCATAAAATTGAGAATGGAAACGAGAAATGCGTCAAAGAGACAATCCGATAAAAGAGCAGAAAACAGCCCAGTGCCACCAATCGATCTTCAACTTAGTGAAAAATACCTACACCCAGCATCGGGCTTCGGCTGGACCTTAAACAATACTGTATACTAATTCAGCGAAAATGCACGTCACACTAAGCTCCGATACATATAAATGAACCAAGATAAAAAAAAACATACAAGACTATCAATATTTTGTGAGATCTCAATCCTCTCCTATACCTCTAGCCAATGTGGAATAAAAAAAAACATACAACAATAAATGTTTCTCAAAAAGAAGTAAACATGGTCGATCTCCAAACAAGTATGCTTCATTTTCGTATTCATAGTTGATCTCTGGTGATCCACAAAGTAGTTTCGCGCGTTATTGGTACCAAATTATTTTTGCTCTAGGCTATCATTAAATGCAATGCATTAACTGTAGAGCACGATAAACACATTGTGTTTAAGGGTTGAATTAAGTATAATAGTTTCGAAATAATAATAGAAATTTTAAATATCAAAAATCATAAAACTTAATTACCCCATTTCCACACAGAAACGTTTCATTTTATTTCGCAAAAGATCAGACTTATGGGTCTTTATATGGCATTTTTCTACTCACATCACAAAACTTGGCAACGAGATATGTCTTACTACAGTTCTTCTTCTCGTGTTATAGAACAATCGACATCAATGAAACCGCTTACCGTTAAATTTCCAAACATTTGCAACTTAAGCATAAATCGGTGTTCTGCATTTTCCTCGAAAAAATGAAAAACATTTCTGTCATCAAACGGTTTTTTACTTTATTTGTGTTCCCGGAAACATAAGCTAAGTCATTTTCGCATTTTTTTTTTTTGTAATTCCGGTCTCGACCAGCTGTGTATCGAATAAGCATGAATAGTTCATAGGAACAAATGTTTGAAAAACTATATACTTTTTGCTATCTTAAACTAAATGTTTTTTGTTGTTCTTGTTACGAAACAGGATTAATTAAACCTGGACCCTGTTGATGCTTATTTGCCGGAGATGAAGCGTGAAAATCTTAAATGACAGTCTAGGATTTTTCAGTTAACGTTAATTGCAGAATGGTATTCTCCTTTTAACAGATAAAATGAAGACAATTGGATTTTCTCTATCATTAAAATCGCTTTATAGTCCTTTATTTAAACTTACCCGGCTGTATAACCTAGCATTCTGCAAATAACTTCAGCATCTTTAACGTCAAAGTTGGTATCACAAACTTCCCCCCATTTTCCTAAATGATACAATTCTACAGTACCTTCAAATGGACCTCGTCCACCAAGCAGTCGTACAGGAGTAGCTAAAACGAACATAAACTGATTGTGAATATCTGATTTAAAGTCAGCAAAATTGAAAAAAATATATATGCTCTTTGCAATACGATTCATTTAAAGGGTCATTAGCTACGAGATATAACAAAAATTAAACATGATTTTTTTTTTGTTCAATCATTATTGAAAGTGATATAGTGAAATAATAATTCGCTTTTAACAGACAGTTTGGTTCAGTTTTGTCATAATAAGCAAAGAAACAGTGCTAATGATTTATTCACTTGCATGTGAATAATTCTTCCTCATTGAATCTGTATTCATGTGAACCTTAATTGATCCCTAGAGCTAGAGATGGGTAACGAATGATATAGGCGTGTTCAGTTATTAAATGGAAAATAATGTAAACAACGAAAGTGAAACAAGGGTAAACCATTTGGTTGACTGGTTCGATCTATAAAAGCTCATTCTTATACTGGTAAAAGGGATTGTTAACATTTTTTATCCTGTAGTATGAAATCAAACACACCTAGTAAAATCCAATTGCACGAGTTCGCAATCTATTTATATCTATGTTTATGTTTAGTTCGGGTTATATGACCATCGGCAATCTTTGGAGGTCACCTCGATAGTTAATTAGATGGCGTCTAGACTAAAATACACACGAAATGCTGATATTTACTATCGAGTCTACGCATCGCAGATTGTTTATTTTAGTCTTTATATACTTTGGATATGCGTTTTAGTATGTTTTACGTCGAATATAAGAATTTGAGTAAAACCGGTGAACATGAAGTAACCTTAAATAATATTCCTTGCATTTTTGTATACCCCAGAACATCATCTTGATCATCATCGTCAACGTCATCGTCGTCGTCGTAATATGCCCATAAAAAAAAATCAATCAGACAAACATCCCCCTCAATAGTTATGCTAAACTGGCGTGAATTACAATAACCCATCATCTATATACTAGTTAAATAGACATTAAACCTCAGAAGAACATGAAGAAAGGTTATAATGTTTTCATGTTCGTTCAAAATAGGGAAGTTTAAAAAAATCAGATTATAGGAACAAAAACGAATGATTATAGGTTTCAAATTAAATAACTTTATTGAATTCTGAAAAAAAATGTGTGTGTGCGTTAACGAAGTAACACCACCCCACCGATAAAATAGAACAATTTGGTTAAAAACATACTGAAATTCCCATTTAGACAAGTTAGTCATATATTTATCGCACTGTGATACAGATATTGAGCATGGATAAAATTGTTAGCGTCATCATTTTGAAATCGACCATTTTGTTTTCCTGTATGATGGGTAGCCTTATTGATAACTGAAACTATTGTAATTATCAAGTAGTAGTACATGTAGCAACAGAAGCAGCAATTCATGTATGTGTAGTTGTACATGTAGTATTAATATTATATAATTATTATTATAGTGTTAATAACAATAACTTAGTTTTTTTGTTTGTTAGCCATTGTATATAATTTATAATATAGTTTATAATTAAAAAATTAACTTTATACCACAATCTATTGACATATCATTGTTATGAGTGCATTGTGAGTTATCCCAGGAAGAATATTTGCAGTTTTCTAAGTCTTTTTCTGTTCCAGCACAATGGAGGTTGGTGAAAAATATCTTCCCTGTTCCGGGTCCATATTGAGCATGTGGATACATGACTGCATCGCTAAAACAAAAATACTCCAAAAAGTTATATACATAATTACATACTTGTATATAAATGGAGAAGTGGAGAAAAATGTAGTTAATAAAAGTAATGTTAGTGGATTTCGAACTTTTTTTTCATATTTCTACTTGTGTGAATGCATATTTGCTTTTTAGTATTGTAAATATATATACTACCGAATGTAACTAGTTGTGTACACGCTATGATATTACAGCCATTAAAATATCTGCAACTTAACCCGAAAAAATACAAAGCCTTATTGAATATATATCAATATATATACATTTAATAAGGACAGACAATTTCAGGAAACTTGAATTTAGAGGAAATTCAATTTCCAAATGTCTTCTACTTGTGGTATCAGATATGTAGATCCAAATTATAAGCTGTAATCTGCATTTTTTACTTCAATTTCAAGCTTACGAGTTATTGTAACCTAGCATAGTACAAATGACTGTCGCTGTGGCCTGGTCAAAATTTGCATCACATATGGTACCCCATAGTCCATTGTGAAGTATTTCAATTCTACCATTTGCAGATTTAGATCCTCCAGCTAATCGAACCATTGTATCTGACATAAATGAAATAAAGAGTGCATCAGACATACATAGAATTACATATACAGTATCTAAAATATCGGTATAATATGTATTCTTTATGTTTCATACATTAATTTATTTTCCCCCAATATCTGGATGACGTAGATATATACATAGTTGCATGGTTGAAGTCATCGTAGTATTATGCATGATTCATCTTACACAGTGTAGATTCGGATACGACGAAAGAATAACTGAAATATCTGTGGTATTGTGTGGATGTGTTCATTTTGCATGTTCATCCACCTCCTTAACAGCCTTTTTATTGGTCTAACGGGTTAGTCAAGAATGCACTATGTAATTATGTCATCTTAACATGTACATGATATGTACATTGCTTATTGAACTTCATCAAAGTTTTTTTTGCCTGTAGCGCGTTGCTTCTACACAAAATTTACCACTGGCGTTCCAATAAAGGATTTGGAAGGCCAAATCAATCTATCTCGGTTACATCGCATCTCAGGGTTATTCTCCATTAATGTGACAGTATTCAGGAAACTCCATTAGGTTTTCAAAAACATAAACTATCAAAAACGTCGGAAGCGCACACAAGCAGTCTGAAGCCTACACAAATTCTAGAAAGTCTTGTACAAAGTTTGATGCTGAAAGCATTTGATCATTTCAAAGTGTTTTGATGAAAGGAAAGAGAAGAACCGTTTCACAGAATTTCAGATTTGTGAATTTTTGACACCAAAAAAATGAAATAATATATTTTTTAAGTAATTGTTTTGCATGACAATAGCTTTTAAATATTGTATGCTTAACTTATTCTATCCAAAAAAAGTAAAATCTGGCTACATGACACCACTTGGCCTCCCAAGGTAAACTAAATGCTTGACTGTAAAATCAATGTTCAATGTATACCAAGCTTAACATACAATATAGTTATTTATTTAATCTTGATTTGTCCTGCAGTTGCGAAATGTTTGTTCTGTATTGTATCTGAATTAAACAATGAATGTTTATACCTTAAATATAACCGGCACAGACTGTTGTAATGTACAGATTAAGGTTTATCGGCAACGCATTGCACTCAAAATTGTCTTAAAACCGTAAATGCCAATTGCAATATAACTGGTATGAAACTGTTACGGTGAATTGCACTGGAAGTGTTTCTAAACTGTGATGGCGAATTGCATTCAAACCTAGTTCTAAACTGTAAGATCCGCAATTAGTTTGCTAAGATGTGTGACCTGCGTTTAAAGCTGTGCTTTGCCATTTAGATATAAGAAGCAATTAAGGCAAACGATACAGTTTTGATCCTATGGTGATTTTTTTACGAACATTTGCATACAAGCTATTTTTCACTTAGACAATTCAAATATATAAAAATAATGTATATTCACGTTCCACATTTAGAGATAAATGGGGTCGAAATTTTGGACATTTAATCTAAAACTCAGTTTCCTTATGTAATAATTCTTTAGAAATAATTACTTTTTATTAAATTTTCATGATTTTATTAGAAAAAAACGGCATTTTTTGCTGTATATTTATCTAATTTAAAACTTTCCCATCTGTGATTTGTTCGTGAAAATTAGCACAAATAATCTTCATACATTATCAAGCCAAATGTTATTTTAAAGAAAAGGGGTCGTTTTCAAGCTACTGAATAAATTCAATCGAAAATTGCCCCCCCCCGCCCCATACGTCATAGTTTGACGTCGCGAAAACAAAAAAAATACGTTAACAACGTCATTACCTCCCCTGTTACTGTATCGTATGCCCTTATAGCACTACTTTATCAAATATATGAAGGGACGATGTGCAATAAATTTATATATTGTTTTTACAATAAAATTATGATCACGGTAAAAATTGAGCAATTATTACCACAAAGAATTGATACATCTTTTGAATGTCCACAATCTGTTCGACCCCAACCATTTGATCCACATTTATATATGTCATCCTCTGTCCCGTTACAGTTTATCTCATCCAACCATACTTTTCCTGTACCTTCACCAAAGAAAGCTTGTCCAATGGCATACGGATACCTTAAAGATTGTTTATATTAAAATGAGTATCCAATCTTCGGAACAACTACTGCAATACGATAAGTGTTGCTTTTCTAACTGTTCTACGTATTTCAGTTGTTTTTCTTTTATATTAATTATTGTTGATATTTTCATTATTTTGTTTAAACTGTATCATTTCTTCTTTTGTATTTAGGACATTTGGATCTACATATTATACTTTAGAATTAGTGCAAGACTTTGAAGTTTCCTGTCATGTTAAGGAAGCTACGTCATGCAATTACTTGCAAATGTAATGGCTGATATTACTGTGTACGACGCAGTTATTTTCGTTTTAACATGTTTGGTATCATATAATACAAAAGCGTATCTCTAAATCAGAGGCAAAAGACACCAAAGGGAAATACACTCATTAGTTTAAAATAAAATGGCAACGGCGTTCTTGTCATTTTAAATACCTATTACTGAGTTTGTGTACGCTGATTTCTCTGTATATCATTTGTTAATATAAATGTTATACAGACCGACAGAAAGGAATGGGTGTTGTAACCGACTACTAGCTTAGATTTGTAACCGAGCCAAATATTAAACTTCACTTGAACAGATGAGTTACACTATCGTATAACGATATGAATAATTTAGCACATTTATATTCCCCCGAATACATAGAGGTCATTTTTTAAATCTGGGCATACAAATTGAAGATTGTGCTGTATACATAACATGTATAACATTTAACGAACAAACAATTCAAACATGAGATTCCAAGATACAAATTACGACACTTGTTTCTACCAAATTCTAATTCAAGTGTTATTAATTGAAAGTAAATGTCTGGTAGCCCTCAATGCGTTGTAGTTAATTGTGTCGATTGGTCATTTTACTAGGGTCGTGTTTGCATTTTGAAATTTAGGAAATTACTATGCAAATGTATTCTTACGTCAAAATTCTAGTGGTTTCAACCTATTGAATCAGTTAAAATGAATCATGAAATAAAAAGAAATATACCTGGTCTCATATCCCATTATTTTACAAACAGTTGAAGCATCCAGTGTGTCGAAGTTGTCGCTACAAACTGTACCCCAAGCATTGTTATGAAATATTTCAAGGCGTCCTTCAGATGGACGGATACTGCCTGCAAGTCGCATCCTTGTTCCTCCTGAAAATTATATTTTTATTATTGAACGGATAGAAAAATACCACACAATTTTTCCCAACGAGACTTTTATTTGGCTGAAACACTAAAAAACATTAAAAACTCTTTGGTTTTTGTGATAAATACAATTGAAAGGTTTCTACGAAGTATACTTGTATGGACTCTTTTTTACACGACTTTAAATCGATTTAGTTATCTTCAAAACATGCATCTTAAGTCAATGTCTGATCGAAAAACAAGAATGTACGTATTTAAAACGTAATTATTATGATTATATTTCTTAACAGCAACATTCAATTAAAATACACGAAAGTCTAAAATGAAAACTTGAATGAATAACTGATCATGCTGATTTAAGCAGTAATATCATTTAGGCAGGATATTTATTTACCACATATAACACCGACTGCACCCCCGCTGATACATTCGACATGGCCCCAACCACGAAATCTACATGCTGCAATATGTGATTCTGATCCTGTACATTTCAAATCTTCGATCTCGATACTCTGATTTCCATTGCCATGTGTTGACGATGAAACAACTGTTACATTTCTAATAAGATGAAAGAAAATACCTTATTAAAATTAAAAACTTAATTATGTTACATCTCTTTATATTCTTACTTCTTCGGTGATATTTGAAACTTTGGAAGCAACTAAACATCATATATTTTTTTTTTAATTTCAATTTTGCACACAGTATATTTGTGGAATTACGAAACGATTCACTGATTTTTCTCAATCAAGTTGAATTTATTTATGAACAAAAAGAAAACTTTATTTGTTTATATTTTTTCTGCGTTTTGTTTAGTGGTTGCGCTGCAAAGATATTGCATACTACTATAAAGCAAAGCAGGAAGATAAGAGCTAATGAAATGCTGAAATCAGATTTAATACAGAAAAAAAAGAAACATTTCAAACCAAAAATAAGCGAATTTTAATTTATAAAAAAAAACTATGCACCACAATGTTTCAACAAGAACAGTATAATTAAGAATAACCTGTATAAATAGATATGTTCACCCATATACATATCTTTAAAGGACAATAATTAAACAAAAAGCTGGATGCAAGATGCTCATTTTTTTTAATTTTTTTTTTCATTGTAGTCATATAAGTGGAATCATACCGTCATAATTTATCCTATAATTCTTAATACAATTTAGTAAATCTTCGAACTGTTATAAATTATTTGGTCTGATAAACAAATTAGTAGTTCATTTAAATATTTCATTGGATATATATTCAAAATTGTACCAAATTTGTA